AACTTTTTTTTTTTTTTTTTTAAACAGCGTCTCACTCTTGATGCCCAGGCTGGAGTGCAGGGGTGTGTTCTTGGTTCACTGCAACCTTTGCCTTCCAGGTTCACCCGATTCTCCTGCCTCAGACTCCTGAGTAGCTGGGGTTACAGGGACCTGCCACAACACCCAGCTAATTTTTTTGTAATTTTTAGTACAGATGGGGTTTTATCATCTCGGCCAGACTGGTCTTGAACTCCTGACCTCGTGATCCACCCACTTCAGCCTCCCAAAGTGCTGAGATTACAGACATGAGCCACCACACCCAGCCTAAACAATTAACTCTTAGGAGCTATTTCAGTATGGTCACAGAATCATGTTCAGCATACAGCTTCCCATGTCTCATCCTCTAAAAGAGCCACTAGGATTCCCGGCACTAGCAGAGGCTCTCTCAGAAGAAACTTGACATGCTGATTATCTGGCCAACTTCTGCAACTAAAGTTTCCCATGGCTATGTCAAATGGTCAAATTGAATAGTACATGATTTAAGATTACAGGCAGTTGCTCTTCATGAGTTGCCTTTATCCCAACGAAGATCAGATTCTAAGGATGCCTTATAATTATAAAGCCCAGAATACAAAACCACTAAACAGCTGACCAGGTGAAAAGTCTCAAATGCTTCTTTCGCTGTCAGAAATCTCTCAACCCCACTGCTGAAATATTAACTATAATGTCAACTTTTCCATAAAGTGGTAGAAGATAATATTAGCAGAAAAACTAGCCACATGTCTTGCATTGAGTTTCATTTCATTTGCAATAGTTATAATCACTCTAAGCATATGGAAAGAAAGCTACAGCTCTGAGCTTAACTAATTTACAAACTAGATTTCAGAACTGCCTTTAACAGTCAAAACTAATGGTTTTCTTTTTTGGCAACTTACCCAAAAATCTACTATGTTCTGTTCAACAAACATCAGATTTTTTTATTGCCACTGCTTTTTTTTTTTTTTTTTTTTTTTTTTTTTTTTTGAGGAGTCTAGCTCTGTCACACAGGCTGGAGTGCAGTGGCACATTCTCAGCTCACTGCAACCTCCTGCTCCAAGGTTCAAGCAATTCTCCCACCTCAGCCTCCCAAGAAGCTGAGACTACAGGCCCACGTCACAACACCCGGCTAATTTTTTTGTATTTTGGTAGAGACGAGGTTTCACCATGTTGGCCAGGCTGGTCTTGAACACCTGAGCTCAAGTTATCCACCAGCCTTGGCCTCCCAAAGTGTTGTGATTACAAGTGTGAGCCGCTGTGCCTGGTCCCAACTGCCATATTTTATACACTACAGAAGGTTCTTTCTGGATACTAGACATGAAAAAAAAAAAAAAAGAAAGAAAGAAAGAAAAAAAGCCATCTTGATCTTGTTATGAACTCTATATTCTCCCATGCAGGAATCATACAGTAGTAGTAGGGCAGAATTAATAGATTTTGGAATCAAAGAATGTGAGTTCAAGCCCTAACTGTCTAATGAGGATAGCTCTACCCCTGAAACAATAATAGGACCAAACTCACAGAGTTGTTTTAAGGATTCAGTTGGTTGATACATGCAAAACAATTAGAACACATGGTAAATACACAATCAACAGCTTTACTATTAATTATTCTCTTATAATCACTGACTCAAACATGAGGTTTGGGTTTGTGAAAGGATAACAAATGCTAAAAAGTCTCAACCCAAAATTAACCTGCCAATTTTTGGCAACCTTTTTTTCTTTGAAACAAGGTCTCGCTTTGTCACAGAGGCTAGAGTGTAGTGGTGTGATCTCAGCTTACTGCAGTCTTGACTTCCTGGCACAAGCCATCCCCCTACTTCAGCCTCCCGAGTAGCTGGAACTACAGGCTGGTGCCACCACACCCAGCTAATTTTTGTATTTTTTGTAGAAACGGGGTTTCGCTACATTGCCCAGGCTGGTCTCAAACTCCTGGACTCAAGCAATCTGCCCGCCTCAACTTCCCA